CCTCGTCTTCACTCTTCTTCGAAATCATTTGACGTTTGCAAATGTTGTCAAAGTTCCCATTTGCCATCGTACACTTTCTCAAAGCTCACCAAAAAATGGAGTCTTTGTCCATACGTCGATGCTGAAATAACTTTTTTTTTTGGGTTTGTTTTTGCAACGGTATCGTTTGGAGATGACACGCTCCATGGTTACGAAATGTGTGGCTTTGTTTTCTCAGTTCAGTGCCTAACCGACATCCACTTTCACGAGTACTTGACCAGCTGGCGGTGAGCAAAACGGTCCAGCTACGCTAGCCGTTAGCTTGGCCGCGTGTGACGGATTAACGCCGTACATGTCGTCTGTCCTATTTTCCAGGTTCAAACCTTGCCGCTTGCTGTTTGTTGTCTTTCATCAAAACGATCCAAATGTTTTCAACCAGTTGGCCTCACGCCGTGTCTGGATTCGGGCCACCCTGCTGGCATGCTAGCCATTCCCAAGAAAGAATGCAAATGCAAGGACTTGTCAAGTTCTTCATAAATTTTTGCCCACCGAATCATAAAATGAACACCTCAGATTGACTGGAGTTCCCCCCCGTACAGAGTACAAAAACTGCGGATGAATGATGATGATGTCATCTTTGTTGTGGCCGCTTTAGTGTCAACTTGGTGTCGCCAGTTGCTTGTCCGTCACGCGTCCGTCTGTCATTCAAAACTGCGCCCCGCCCCGCTCGCTGTCACGTTCTGCCGGTTCGTCTGCTTCTCACGTTCGCGCGCACGCACAAAGACCAGTTTGTGCTCACGAAGCGTGTGCGGCCCGCCAGGAGGGGGGAGCGGGAAGAAAAATTTTTTAAAAAGAAAGTTCCAAAGCTTCACATTTGGACGTGACAAGCTAGGAAAAAAAAAAGAAGAAAACCCTCCTGCCAAACCTGATCAGAAACGGTGCAAAAGGAGACGGGCCGAGCGAGGGCGGACTTGTGCGTCCTGAATTTGGGAACTCGGGCCGCGCTGCCCACAACCCCCCTCGCCAGCTCGTGTGACGCTCAATATGGTTCTTCCCGCTCCCCCCCGAACGCGTCCCTGCGCCAACACTTGCGCCAACACAGCGGCACGCCCCGGGAAGCGCCGCTGTGCTTGCTTTGGCCTTGACAGGGTGTGGACGTTGGAACGCCAAAGACACAGGGTGTGTCGCAAGGGGCGTGTGGCATGTGTCAGACGCGTGTGTGGGTGTCCGTCCATGTGAGGATCACCCTTGTGAAAACACGCAAGCATGGGCGTGTGTGTGTGTCACTTATGTGAAGGAGTGTGTTTTTCTGTGTGTATGTCTTTGTGTTTCAATGCGGGAATCTGCAAGAGTGTGTGTGTCTGTTTGTTCCTTCATGTGCATGTTTGGTGTGTGTGACTTTGTGCTAATCTGTCTTTTGTGTCTTTACTTGGAATGTTGAGCGTGTGGGTTTTCTTCGTGTGTGTGAATGTGTGTGTGTCTCATGTGGCAGTTTGTGTCTCTGTGTGTTGTCTGTGTGCATGGCATGTTGTGTGGCAGTTTGTAATAGTGTGTGTGCGTGCGTGTGTGTGTGTGTGTGTGTGTGTGTGTGAGTGTACTTTAGTTTCTATGCGCGTGTGTGTGTGTGTGTGTGTGTGTGTGTGAGTGTACTTTAGTTTCTATGCGCGTGTGTGTGTGTGTGTGTGTGTGTGTGTGCATGTCTGGCACATGCTTTTGTACTTTTTAAGAGTAACTGTGTGTGTGTGTGTGTATATGTGTGCGCACGCATGTGTGTTCATGTACATGTGGTTTTGTGTGCGTGTGTGTGTGTTTTGTATGCATAACTCCTTTGTGTGTGTGTGTGTGTGTGTGTGTGTGTGTGTGTGTGTGTGTGTGTGTGTGTGTTCGATCACTTGACTTCATGCATTTGTGTATGTACTGTGTTACTCTAAGTGTGAGTAGTGTTTTGGTACATGTGTGAACCCAAAAAATCTTGGAAATCACGGAAGCTCGTGTGTGTGTGTGTGTGTGTGTGTGTGTGTGTGTGTGTGTGTGTGTGTGTGTGTGTGTGTGTGTGTGTGTGTGTCTGTTCGCATTCAGGACATGGAGGTGAACCCCAAAGAATTGATGCACATCCTCAACCAAGTTCTCACCAAGCGTGAGTCTCACGCATGCGCACACACACACACACACACACACACACACACACACACACAAGTGTATGCTAAGTTAATGCGTACAAGGTAACTGACTGTGTTGAAGAAGCTATTGAGCGCATGCTAATAGTTGATAGCGACTTCACGCTATGCTAATGTTTTGTGTCAGATGGCAACTTGAAGACGGACGGTTTCAGCATCGAGTCGTGCAGAAGCATGGTGGCAGTCATGGACGTATCCTTTTTTTGCGTGCGCGTCCGTGCGGTGGGAGGAGGATTCGTCGACAACAAAAGTCCCCAGTGTTGCGAGTGTGGCGTTTGCCTTTGACGTCGGCACTTGCAGAGCGACAGCACGGGCAAGCTGGGCTTCCACGAGTTCAAATATATGTGGAACAACATCAAGAGATGGCAGGTGAGTTCGTCGGAAAGGTCGTGACCTTGGCCACGCGCCGCTTGAGCGAGCAGCACGTTGTCACTCCCGCTTCACGTTGACAATAACATAGGACGGTTGCACTTTGTACTTGGAAACATCGCAAAATGGAGGGAACGGTCTGGCCGCTAGCTTTACATCCGCTATAATAGCAAACGCCACGGATGGGCTAACGAAATGAGCGTTGGTATTGCGGTCATGGTCAAGCTTTCGATGAGCGCTCCTTCAACACTCGTAGCGGGGTAAGACCGCTCTGGCGTTTGTCTGCGTGTGCCCTGACGTGGGCCGGTGACCATTCTTTTTGGAGTCCTGGCGCTGGGCGGCGACCGGCCCGTTGCGCCTCTCCAGATGCGTCAACCGCGCGACCCGCGTGCGACTTTTTGAAGTGCGGTTTGCGTTTCGCCAGGGCATCTACGTGTCTCACGACAAGGACAAATCGGGAGTCATCTGCAGCAAAGAGCTGACGCAGGCCTTCAAGGCGGCAGGTGCGTACGAGTGGCGCCGGCGCGCCGACGCCGTCCGCTCACACCGTGTGCCCGCGCAGGCTTCCCTCTGAACGACCAGCTGTACAAGATGATCATCCGGCGCTACAGTGACGAGCACGGCGACATGGACTTTGACAACTTTGTCGGCTGCCTGGTGCGACTGGACGCCATGTGCAGTGAGTTTTTGCGCACGCGCGCCTGCACGCAGACTCTCTCTCACGCTAACACACGCACTCACTCACTCTCTTGCACACTCAGGAGCCTTCAAGACTCTGGACAAAGGAAACAGTGGCTCAATTAACCTGGACATCAAAGAGGTAAAACCTCAGCATGCGCGCTGGTGCGCTCCCGCGTGCCTCCGCACGGCTGCCTGGTGCGACTGGACGCCATGTGCAGTGAGTTTTTGCGCACATGCGCCTGCACGCAGACTCTCTCTCACGCACACACATGCACTCACTGTCTTGCACACTCAGGAGCCTTCAAGACTCTGGACAAAGGAAACAGTGGCTCAATTAACCTGGACGTCAAAGAGGTAAAACCTCAGCATGCGCGCTGATGCGCTCCCGCGTGCGTCCGCGTCTGACGTCTTTGAACGGTTTTGGGTGTGCAGTGGCTTCAGCTGACCATGTACTCGTGAAGCTTGGGCGTTGTCGTCGCACAGGCGGGGGGGACCGAAGCTCCCCAAAAGGACATCGGAGGAAAAGGCTCAGCTGCCGCGTGAACTTCCCGCTGCTGCCAACGGGTGGCGCCACAACAACAATGTTTAAAAATTAAAAAAAAGAAAAAAACTTACTGACCATGAAATGTGTTTTGTGTGTCCTGACCAACCTGAGTCATCTTGGACTTTTTTTTGCCCGTCTCCCTGTTCCTGCCCATTTGAGCAACGCTACTCTTCGCAGTTGTCACTTTGGAAAGAGCGACTTGCGCGGTCCTTGGTTTTTCCCGCGGTGACATTGCAAACATACTGTACGTGTTCACCGCACAGTGGTGACTTTTTCAAGCATTTCTTTCAGTGCCCTTGCCGTGGCCGGAGGAGAACCTGCCGCTCCCTCTCTTTGGGATGACCGCTGGGCGGTTCATCGTTGAAACTTTGGTCCAAAGTTTGGAGTCTTTGGCTTGGCACTGGGCGTGAGACTCCATTGGGAGTTGGACTGTTCGGGTGCTTTCTCCTGTCTTGGTTCCGGGTTTCTTCTCGTATCGGTTGTGGTATGTGACTCCGGCTACGGCACCTTTTCAATGAGTTGCTCGTCCTCTCATTCGCTTCCCCCGACTTCCTTTCAGCACATGATACCAATCCCGATGACCGAACACGGTTGTTCACTTTTTACACTCCGGTGGTTCCTTCCCGCAGCAGCGACTTTCTATCGGGCGGTTACTTTGCAAGATGCTTTGTACGACTTTTTGACCATCAGGACGTACTTTTGAACAATTACTCAGAACGGCTACCGTCCGTTTTGCAATCCGGACGATCAACAAGTTACTTTTTAAAATAGTCTCTTGCATAGTAGTAACTTTTCCTTTTGAGTTCAGTTCCAGTTTGGTACTTTTCACACGACGGCGGTTAGTCCGCAAGCACTTTTGAGCCCAAATATTTCTTCCTTTGCCCACATACTTTTACCTTCTACGGCATTTTCGTTCCAGCGTTTTCTTCTCGTATCGGTTGTGGTATGTGACTCCGGCTGCGGCACCTTTTCAATGAGTTGCTCGTCCTCGCATTCGCTTCGCACGAGTTCCTTTCCACATGATACTAATCCCGATGACTGAACAGGGTTGTTCACTTTTTACACTCCAGCGGTTCCTTCCCGCAGCAGCGACTTTCTGTCAGGCAGTTACTTTGCCCGATAGAAAGACGATCAACAAATTACTTTTGAAAATAGTCTCTTGCACAGGCGTAACTTTTCCTTTTGGGTTCAGTTCCAGTTTGGTACTTTTCACATGACGGCGGTTAGTTCGCAAGCACTTTTGAGCCCAAATATTTCTTCCTTTGCCCACATACTTTTACCTTCTACGTCATTTTGGTTCCAGCGTTATTTTTCACTCAAAAGCTATTTCGCAGAGTAGGTTGTTTTTTTTTTGGGGGGCCACATGATACTAATCCCGATGACTGAACAGGGTTGTTCACTTTTTACACTCCAGCGGTTCCTTCCCGCAGCAGCGACTTTCTGTCAGGCAGTTACTTTGCCCGATAGAAAGACGATCAACAAATTACTTTTGAAAATAGTCTCTTGCACAGGCGTAACTTTTCCTTTTGGGTTCAGTTCCAGTTTGGTACTTTTCACATGACGGCGGTTAGTTCGCAAGCACTTTTGAGCCCAAATATTTCTTCCTTTGCCCACATACTTTTACCTTCTACGTCATTTTGGTTCCAGCGTTATTTTTCACTCAAAAGCTATTTCGCAGAGTAGGTTGTTTTTTTTTTTTTTTTTTTGGGTCATCCTTTTCACTCGACGCTGTACTTTCCAAGCTTGTTACTTTTGCAGAGTAGCGACTTTTGTAATCATCGTTAGGTCTCAGAGTTGTTGCTGACTTTTTCCACTCCAGCGGTACTAGTTACTTGCCACAGTAGTAGTTACCCATGCACGCCGACTAATGACAAGCACGACCCCGCCGCCGATGACTGAATTTCAATCCCAGCCCCGGAGATCATCGGCAAGCTGTGCGGAAGCCTGATATCGAACCCGTTCATTTGAATCAAGTGCGTCGCCACGGGGAGACGCGGCCCTCCGGGACCGGAATTGCCCACCCCCGCCTCAGGTTGTTGTTGTCGTCGGAGCCGGCGGCGAGAGGGGAGGCGGGGTCAGCGGGAAGCGCACGGGCGGGTCCCGAGGGAGGAAGGGAGAGCTTGACAGAGAGCTTTGGCGCTCCATCTTCAGGATGGACTCATGACAGGTAAGACGCACGCATGCCCGCGCTCCCTCTCGGGTGCGGTTGTGCCTACGTGCGCGTTGACAAAATCGCCATTGGGAAGCGAAGATGTCGTGATGGCAACACGGTTGATCTCGCACGCGTACGTCAACAGGAAGTCACGGACGGGCGTTATCGAGCGACTCCTTAGCAACGACGTGACCGCACACTTAGGAGTCGATAAAGGAGCCGGCGATGGGCGAGTTGCGGTAACGGGGCCGATATCGACCTTACTCGAAGTATCGGATACTCAGGAAGGCTGCCGAGAATGTCCACTGATACTTAAGGGGGTCAGGAGGGGGTTGGACAAGGTGTGAGTCCTCCACTGCAGAGGTGTATCGCCATTGGGAAGCGAAGATGTCGTGATGGCAACACGGTTGATCTCGCACGCGTACGTCAACAGGAAGTCACGGACGGGCGTTATCGAGCGACTCCTTAGCAACGACGTGACCGCACACTTAGGAGTCGATAAGGGAGCCGGCGATGGGCGAGTTGCGGTAACGGGGCCGATATCGACCTTACTCGAAGTATCGGATACTCAGGAAGGATCAGCTGACAGATGAGGTGAGGGCGACCCATCCCATCGACTGTGAGGCTTCAGAACCTCTCCCGCGGTGCCTTGTGTGTGCGCGTGCGTCAAAGGGACTCGTTGTCTGTTGAGATGTACGCAAACATGTGCACACGCTCCCAAAGCGCTCGGCGGCTTCTCTGGAAGAACACCTGGGTCACCTGGTTGCCATGGTGACACAGCAAGTACACGCATGAACATGTGCGCGGACGTGCACACACTCACAGACGCTGGCGTGTTTGGATGAGCGCAAACGTCAGCGTACTTCCTTCCATCCCACCTTCTTCCCTGCCTTTCGTCCTTCCTTCCTTTCCTCCTTCAGTATTTTGTCTTCATGTGTCCTGACCTCCTCCTTTCTTTTCTGTTGAATTATGTGATGCAAATATTCACGATGTGCTGTGTGTGTGTGTGTGTGTGTGTGTGTGTGTGTGTGTGTGTGTGTCTGTGTGTGTGTTTGTGCGCGTGCATGCGTGTGCATCATGCACGCGCGTTGCAGTCACTGGAGAGCACGTGCAGGATGATGCAGCTAGTGGAGGAGCAAACATGTGCACACGCTCCCAAAGCGCTCGGCGGCTTCTCTGGAAGAACACCTGGCTCACCTGGTTGCCATGGTGACACAGCAAGTACACGCATGAACATATGCGCGGACATGCACACACTCACAGACGCTGGCGTGTTTGGATGAGCGCAAACGTCAGCAGACTTCCTTCCATCCCACCTTCTTCCCTGCCTTTCGTCCTTCCTTGTTTCCTTCCTTCCTTTCCTCCTTCAGTATTTTGTCTTCATGTGTCCTGACCTCCTCCTTTCTTTTCTGTTGAATTACGTGATGCAAATGTTCACGATGTGCTCTGTGTGTGTGTGTGTGTGTGTGTGTGTGTGTGTGTGTGCGCCCGTTGCAGTCACTGGAGAGCACGCGCAGGATGATGCAGCTAGTGGAGGAGGTACGATATTGGAAAAAAGCAAGGAACGCGTGACACGACTCGACGTCCTTCTGGCCTCCCCGAATGCGCTTGAAGGCGGCCAAACCAAACACGCGACCAAAACAAGCGCGCATCACATCTTGAAATACCCGCCGGGCTTCGTGGAGTATCACCAAACATTGTCAGCTTATCGCTAGCTTTCAATGTAAAATCCCCTTGACGGGCTCGCCGCAATTAGCATTAAGCCTCAAAGATCACAGATTCACACACAAGCTGGAGCAACACATGTAGACCGCTAACAGTCCTCACGGGCATACATTGTACTCCTCCTCATCTGTGAAAAGCCAGCCCTGTCCACTTGACCTGGGCCTCATTTGGCTTCAGGTTCCAGCCAAGATGTTTTTAGGCAGCAAAAATGAACTCCACAACTCAACTGAAGTGAGCGATTAGTTCACGGAATGAGATGTGGAAAAACTGGCAATACTCATTACAACAGAAATGTGCTCGGTTTTCATATTTGCAAGTTTTCATCTTTGCATCGTTTTTTTAAACCTATTATTTAAAAAAAAAAAAATTCTAAAAGTGATCAAACTAAACGAAGAAAAAAGGAATAGCATCAGGAAGAATCCAAAAGCACAATAAAGCTGCTTGTGAGCTTTTTTTTTTTTGCCCCCCTCCCGTCAGAGCAGCTGGAGCGCATTGAAGAAGGTTTGGATCAAATCAACTCGGACATGAAGGAAGCCGAGAAGAACCTGACCGACTTGGGAAAATGCTGCGGCCTCTGTGCTTGTGACAAGTAAGTGCCCGCGGGCGCGCGTGCGTGCGTGCGACGTGCTTTCCGTTGGGACCGCAGTGGACCCGCAACAAGCCGCCGCTGCATCGTGGCGCACAACCACAATTGGAGACGCTGCATTTGTCGGGCAGCCATTTGAGCAGAAAAGTGGAGTTCCGGTGAGCCGTCAATCTTCCGCTAATCAACGGCCTGGCGCGGTGCCTTGAGAGAAGAGCTCAAATCATCTTTTGGCCTTAAAACGAAGGCGAAGGCCATTCCCGGGGGCCACAGAATGCTGCAGTCGCTCGTGTCTTGTCCCTGTCATCAAGGCAATGGACGG